GGAAGGAGGCACACCAGCAGGGTTGAGCTGGAAGCGGAGCAGCTTCTGGAAGGCGGATATGAGCATGTCCTTGGCGGTGCGCAGGTGGTTGGACATCTTCTGCACCAGCGTGGGGTCCAGGTTCACATTCACGCCGTCTGTGGCCTGCTGGGCACCGGCTTCCCCACCTCCTCACTGCCAAGCAGACCCCAGGTGGACACCTGGTATCCCCTCACACACACAGTCCAGTGCCCTGCCTCACACTTCTCCATTGAAGACTTTTAAAATCTGAAAAGAAAATGCTATACAATTCTGTAGCAGCAGGAAGGGACGGAGCAGGATCTCTATGACTGAGCAGACGGGGTAAAGGAGGAGAGTCCTGGAGCCCTTGGTAGCTTTTGCAGACTTTTACTGGGATTTACCAGGTACACGGGAGGCAGGGGTGCGGGGCGGGTAGGGGGGCGAGAAGCTGGAAGGCCTTCCAGCCCCTGGCCAATCTTCACTCTTCCGGGGCTCCCCGGGTTCCCTTGTGGCCTTTGCTTCTCTGATCCACTGGCATCGCCGTGACACCGCCCTTATAAGGCCAGTCATTCAGCCCAGGTGTACCCACTTACATATGCCCATGCCCTACTCCAGGTGCCCACCATCAGGCATGCATTCAGGACCGCAGGGTTCCAGCATCAATCCTAATGGCGGGAGGGCAGAAAAGCCTGATATCATTTACTTACCCTACAGATTCCTTAATTAACAAGCCAAAATCCACTACAATAAATACACTGTAGGGCCTCCCTAATGGTGCAAAGGGTTAAGACGCAACCTATGAAGCGATCCACAGCCACGAGTTCGATCCCCAGCCAGAGGGGTGACCCACATGGCGCAGCAGACCTCTCCTGACTCGCCCGCTGCTCCCCTCAGCAGTGTATTTCAGTCAATCTGCCTGTTCTGTTCCCCACTCTCTGGTGGATCCTCTCACCCTCCCACACCTCTGGCCTGTACCCCAGCTCTTGTATAAAAAAAAATATATAAACCTTTAGAAAAAAAAATCTGGATGATCTCATTTTGGCAGTTCCTAACCCATACGGGTTCCATAAGCAATCCAGAGTGTGTATTTCCAGGGGTTCCTAAGCATAACCCAGGGAAGCCTTCAGCTCATCTGCTTTGGTGTCAGTGTAGGGTAAGGTAAAAGGTATCAGGCTTTTCTGCCCTCCCGTCATCAGGATAGATGAGGGAACCCTCTGATCCTGAATGTATGCCTGATGGCGGGCACCTGAAGTGGGTACACCTGCGCTAAGATTGTGCTTTTAAGGGCAGCGTCACAGAGACGCCAGAAGCCGAGAAAGCAGCAGCAGAAGCTGAAGAGAAGCCGAGATCACCAGAGAGCCCAGATAGAGTGAGGATTTGCTGGGGGCTGGGAGGCCTGCCAGCCTCCCGGCCCCCCAGCGCCCCTGCCTGCCATATGCCTGGTGAACCCCAATAAAGACCTGCAAAAAGCCACTGAGGACTCTGACTCCTCCTTTACCCATTCTGCTGGATCAGAAAACCTGCACTGTGTCCCCTTCCTGCCCTTTACAGTCAGGGACAGTTGGTCACTTTAACAGTGCCCTGAGAGTGGCCTGCTATGTGTCAGCCCATCTACTAAAGGTGTGTGGGAGGAGTTGGCCTACAAATAAGCCACTGTTTGCAGCCCCTGGCACCTTCCCCTGACTTGCTCTGGCCTGTGCTTTCTCTGCTCACTTACACTGATGCTGTCCCTGAGTCTGCTGTGGCATCTCCTGGCCCTTTGTCCAGTCTCTGCCATCCTTCCCTGGACTGAATCTTGGTCAGCACTGCAGGGGTGTGACCTGCCCTCAACCTCTGACACCTTTAGGGTGTGGTACATCCGTCAGCTCTTGGCCACCCTCACCATCTGTTCTAGTCCTTAGCCCTTTCTCTTTCAAAAGGAGCAGAGGCCTCTCCTCACATACAACCTCTCCCAAAGGTGACTCACTGTGACTCACTCCCGAGATGTGCTCTGGGCTAGAAAGCCAGGTTGATGGCAGGGTGGTGGATGGGTTATGCCATGTCCATTCTTTTTTTTTTTTTTTTAAGATTTATTTATTTATGCATACGAGAGCTGGGGTGCAGGCCAGAGATGTGGGAGGTGAGAGGATTCACCAGAGACAGAGCGGGGAACAGAACAGGAGGATCGACTAAAATACACTGCTGAAAGAGGCAGCGGTGAGTCAGAAGAGGTCTGATGCACCATGTGGGTAGCAACCTGGCCAGGGATCAAACTCAGTTTTCACACTATCTCCATCAGCTTGTTTCATTAGAATAGTTGTGGTTTCTCCTGTGGGATTTTATTGGTTCTGTGGCAGCAAAAGCTTCCAGGGCTTAATCATAGACTATAGATATGGCACATTCTGGGCAGAAGTGAAGAATTCTGGGCCTAGATGTAGAAATATGCTTCATAAAAGTAGAGGTCAAATGGCAGCTTTAAATGATAGCTTCCTTAGAAATGCTTGGTATGTCTCAGAAACCA